ACTATTTAGAGAGAATGAAATGTGGTAATAAGTACATTCCTGTAATTATGTCCTTGTGAGATTCGACACGGGTTAACTATACTACATTAGTTTAGTAACTTGTTTATTACTTTTTATCAGTATTTTGTGTGACCAAAATGTTGTTATCATTGTGTGAGGTTAACTCATGGCAAACCGAGCTCTCTAAGTTTGTTTGCTAGATCACCAAACAAACTATTAATCCCTTGGGTAGGTCATAGTACCACTAGAGTGTGACTCCTTTGAGGTAGTTGAGAATATTCTACACTTGAAAGGAGTATTTGTTCAAGTATACCTTGACATGAATGAGGTATGCTCAAATATGTCCCTCGGGATCCAATGTGCCTATATAGGAATTAATGGGCAATGTTTGCTAATGTTAGGGAAGAGGGTCATCGAGTATCTTGACGACAAATGCGTGTTTGTATTTGTTTAATTGCTCAAGTTGACATAAACAATTCTGACACTTTTTCTGTTATCTTGATTCTTGATTCTCTCTCCTGGTATGAGTTCTTTGATGTTCATAGTGCTCCGAATGTGAATGAGATTTCGCTTTTGTTGCTACTTCTTTATCCTTTGATCTTCTGGTTTTTTGATGATCTCTTTGAGTTGATCGCGTAAGGCTTTCAACTCTTCTTAATATTATTTTTAGTCATTGTCGGCAACTTTCTCTTGGAGGGAGAAGGGCGATGAGGGTGACTTTCATCTCCATGTTTGTCTGTTGTAATTCTACTATATGTGCTTTAAACCTAGAGATGAGGGTGATTGATTCCATTGGCTTAGGAAGAGAGCTTGGTTGCCTCATTTAGATTCTAAGTGGTATTGTGTGATAAGTTTTACCTTATATTATGGTGGACGCCAAATGTTTGTACTTGGATTTAGAGGGTGATAAAACTCTCTAAAATTCATTCCGAGTACACTGGGCGAAAGGGGGAGTATATGCGAAAAGTTGTCTGATGCTTAAACCAATATTAAGAGCGAATAAATAGTGAAATAATAATCCAATAAAAAGAGATACTAAACATTTTATAAGGTTATATAAGTGTATCTATCCGAGAAAATATGGACATTTATTTCTATTTTATTAGATTATTACTAAATATATCAAATAATATAAATATCTAAAATTATATTAAATATATTAATTTTGTGTAGAATATCCTATTGGGACTTTTAGTTTCATTTCATATATATATGTTTGTGTGGAGATTTAAAAAAATAAATTTGAGGGGCATTCGCATATGACATAATTCCTTAAACATTTGTAAGGATATTCAGTTTACCTATTTATAAGGATTGACTATCAAGTAGTGAAATAAATTACATTTTTTTTCTCGTAAAAAGTCTGCGATGGAATCCAATTGTCTCATTCGATCAACAATCTGATATTTCTTGTAGTTGAGCGATGGTTCGCGCTTCCTCCATGAACAACTTGGCTGCATTTGTTTGAGAGAATGAGATTTGTGACAAAGTTCTATTGTTTGTTATCATCTAATGTATTCCTTGAATTTGTATATGATAAGTGTTGGAATTTATTAGTATCATAATCTGATTATATTTGTTCCTTTATGCAAAGATTGTTTCTAAAAAAGGAAAGTATACAAACATAGGAGTTATCTTGTTTAAAGTTTCAAAAATCATCTCTCAAGTTAACCTAGACCAAAAGCCTAAAAATCATGTTGCGTCAACTCCACCTAGAAGTGTCAATATGGGTTGTAACCCGTGAACCAACTCAGCTCACCATGGATTTGAGCCAGGTTGGGTTCGATTTTTTTCATTTCTACCGATAATGGTTTAAAATGAACTTGGTTCACTTAACCCACGGGTTAAGTGGGTTCGAGCTGAGTTATGGTAGGTTGACCCGCAACCCACCATTCATTTTAAATTTGAAAAATAATTATAATAATTTAATAATCTTAATTGATGTTATTTTTTCCTCTCCACCTTTATTCCATACCGCCACTACAAGTCAAACTCTCACTCAAACTTATCATCAATTGTTTGTCGCACCACTACATTCATTGCTACATCTGGGCCACTTGTAATCCTTCCACCGCACCAATGCTACATTCATTGTTCAGTTTGTCGCACCAATGCGTTTCAATTGCGTTACAACGTTTAACGTGTTTCATTCTTACATTTCAATCGCGCCACAATGTTTGTCACACCACCACATTCGCCACACCATTACATTCGTCGCGCCACCACACCATCGTGTTTCAGTTGTACCATAGTGTTTGTCACGTTTAAGTTGTATTACAACATTTGCTGGACCACCACGTCATTGCATTGCAGTTTCGCAATTCAGTCGTGTTTATTAGAAATAAAACAAAACAAAAAAATAAACGTAACCCACCAACTCGTAGTGGGTTGAATCGGATTATAAAATTTCTGATTCGTTATAAAGTGAGTCAGGTTAAACTTGTCTATTTTCAACTCAATCTATGGTGAGTCAGCCCATGTGATCTTCCTATAAAGTATGGGGGTGCAGAGGCTATTGCCTCATAGAAATGTGAAATATTATTAGAAAAGTAGTAGAGAAACTTGGATGAAGTTGCTGTTAGAGATGCTTTTATGCGCCCCAATAACTTATGTTCAGGATGCAAGTAACACAAGGAGCAGGTAAAGAATTTTGGCTGTGTATTCACAATAATTTCATGCTCTTAGTCTGCTTAATTTCATGCTTTATCTTTGATAAAAAAATGAAGGGTTAAGTATGTTTTTAGTCCTTGTACTTTCATGTGAAATTGAAATAGTCCCTCTGTCAAAGTTCATATAAAAATGATTTCTATACTTTTGAAATGATTGGAATAAGTCCCTATTTTAAACGAAGTTAAATATATGGTGACCTGTCTAACGAGAGATAGTATGACTCATTCATTATTTGACACATGTAATTATTAAAAAAAAAAAAGCAAAGCTCTTCTTTAAAAAAAATAGAAATTATTCAATAAAGATTATTATTTAAAAAAAATAAAAAAACAAAATTAAAAGTAGTAGAAACTTTTCTTTTCTCTTCATGCACCAAAACTCTTCAGTTCTTGTCATAACCACTTTTCATTCTCTCTTCTTTTCTCGTCACAGCTACTTTTCGGTTCTCTCTTCTTTTCTCGGCACACATCAAATGTCTTTTCTTTCTTCCCCTTTCTCTGTAAAGATTGTATGAAGTCAAAGTGACTTTGAAGTTCGAGGGTTTCATCGGTTCGTTGTTGTTCGACTGACAGTGCGACAGTGATGCACAACGATAATGTGCGACGGTGGTATACCATAGCTAGGGTTTTCATTTCCAAAAATTAAGGTATGTTTTTTCATTTGCGAAACTAAATGTTTATTTTGTGTTCTAATGCATGCATTTGGGAGGTTTTGTCAAAATGATTTAAGGTTTTTCTCGTACATTGTTTGAATCAATTTTTCACATTATAGGATTACAACGAGTTTCTCTGTAACATTTCACCACATGGGTAAATTTGTGAGGTTGAAGAATTTGCGTTACAAGGGTAGAGAGAAACATAGGATATGTAATGTTGACTCATATACGTGGTCTTGTTTTGAAGCTCTGGGCATTGTAAATGAGTTTAAATATATTGGTCAATTTAAGTTATGGTGGAAACTGATTATGAGAACCCTGGATAAGGATTTAAAACTCTTTAGTTTGGACAAGGATGCAATTGAGTTAACAAATTATGCAGAGGAAAGTAAAGGTGAACCTGATATTTATGTTGAAATATAGTTAATGAAATGCAGAACATTGAACATGGAGGAGGGAGGCTGATGAAATTGTGACCCATTCCAAAATCAACAGAAGAAATTTGAAGATGAAGTGCACTAGGTGTGAGCAGTTTGGTCACAACATAAGAAGATGCAAAAATCAACCAAAGAAAACCACACGGGTAAGATACATTTGTGCTATATCTGTCCACTTACAGTACCTGTTTCGTTTTTTTTTGTCACTAATGAAGATTTCTTTTTCTTCAAATATAGGGGAAAACCAAATATGCATCTTCCATACTACTTTTGTAATGTAAGTGGTTCATTGTTTTGTAGTTTTGCTTCAGTTATGGTCAACAATTGTGCTCCACTTCTTTTATGTATTATTTTAAACAATGTGGTTCAACTTTACTATAATACTTTATGTGGACAAGTTCTTATATTAAATTACATATTTTCCCTTGTTTTCCTCCACTTGGTTGAATGTGGCTTGGTTAAATGTGGGATAAGATTGAAACATAATTGTGGATGCCGTGGGTAGACATTAAAAAATAAAGAAACATGTTAAATGCAGGAACATGTATTTGAATAGTGCAGAAACATATATGGTATGCTCCATTTTTAAATAATGCAAAATCTAATTCATTTTAAAGATGAATTGTATTTAAATTTAAAAGAATTGATCTAGACATAGATCCATTCTTAAATGACTTTTAAATACTTTAAATTTGAATTTAAATAGCTTATAAATGACAGAAAAGTTTAAAATTTTTTTTAAATGACTTTAAATGTTATAAATACAGATTTAAATAACTTTTAAAAGTTTGACACCTTTTAATTTTATTTTTTTAAATAATTACACGTGTCAAATAATGAATAAGTCATTTAATTTCTGATGCTTTATCTTTGATCCGTTCCGTTGAATTGAAGGACCAAACTTTCGGATTAAACCGTCTCACCTAATCTTCAAAATTTTAGTATTATTCAACTATGTTTAGCAAAATCCAAAGGAATTTTTCGAGTGAAAAGCAAGATATTGAGCTTAAAGTGCAACATGGGACTTCAAATTGATTCCGATCGCAACATTAGTGGTGATGGTAAAGATAAGCTTAGGATCTTGGACAGTGCCACTCTCATTTCAAAACAAATAGAGCAAAATGAAAAGAGTTGGCCATTAGCATAATAATCAATACACAGTCCAATAGAAAACGAACCAATTTACATCCAAGTGCTTACTACCATTGGCAAGATAAGATGAGGCCCTTTTTATGCTCCTAATAGACATAAGGCAATATTCTCCATGGAACAAGTTTACGATACTCTGCCCATATCTCTCGATACTTCTCTGCACAACGAGCTTCATCCCTTCTCTCTCTCCAGATCAACAGAATAAGAAGATAAATTGGATAGAAATATGGAATTGGTGAACTGCAAGAGTGAAATGTTTGACAATAATTTCTATTAAAATAACAAATATCAATAACTTCATGTCAACATAATAAAACAATGAGTTAAAGAGATCACCTAATCCCACAAGGTAAGCTAAAGGAGAGAGCAAGCAGCAAATCCCCTAGGTAATTACAGTGTCTAGCAATACCCCTAAAACACAATAAATAGACGAATAAAAATAAGAAAGATCGGTGACTTCAATAAGATAAAGAATCAATGATATGCTCTAACCAGCTCTTGGATGGCAAATGATTAAGACAGTACCAAATATTCATTCTTGCAAGGAGAATTTTGTCACATACTATGAGCTAGATGAAGGGTGAAAAAATAAAAAAAATAAAACACACATGCATATGAATCCATTATAAAATAGACAATCATCTTTTCTTTTTACATCATTATATCTGAATATGGAAAGAGAAGAACAAGAAAAAGGGATATCAAACGGAAGTAGAAATCTTGATCATATCTTAAAATATTATAAAGCATCTTAAATTATTTCTTAGGATTTAGTTTTCCTGTTTCCTGAGTTTTTATATTTCATTACATTTCATTATTGTTTTTCCTATTTATTTAGAATAAAGAGCCTCGTTACTAGTTTTTGTTGAACAAGGCTGGTTCTTATGTATTGTATTGTAAAACATCGTATTGAGCATCTGTCTCAGAATGTTACTTTATTCTCTACTTCCCCTGTCTATGAAAACCTATAATTTCGACATGAATGAAATCTTACCAATAACCAGACGCTAGTAGCTTGCCTCCAACAACTTTTGGAGGCTTACCCCAAATAGGAGCCTTTGGATTCTTTTTGAACATGTGTTTTTGCTTGTTCGCTCCTCGAAATACCATATATCTGCACAGTTATATTCCACAGATTACAGTTTATAAGGTTTGCTGATAGAAATGTGTATGTACTTCATAAAGTTTTCTTTTATGTCAACTTTATGTGACTTCGGGAGCCACACGCATTACAGAAGTCACTTTTGCATATTGCAAGTTACCCGATTAAGAAGACAAAGCAATTAGCTACAGAGGAAGCCGTTGTTAACTCCACACTGTTCCTCAAGAGCCACCACCCCTGACAGCAATTGCAGATTGTCAATGAATGCAAGATTTTAATGCAGAAGAGATAAACAAAAATTAAACATGGAGCAAAGCTAACTAAATCAGTAGCAAGCTTCATTTCCGACTCATTTGAATGATGCTTAAAGCATGTATATACGTTTGTTGGTCACTTTCAAGTCTTAGACCATAGCTCATAAATACATACATACACACACAACAAAATAAACCACATGGATTCAGCAATCGGAAATTTCACTTGCTGAACTATGACAAACATGCATTACCAAGAGAGAAAGATAGTATCTTGAAAAATAATTTGGAAATCCCCCACATTAAATAGAATTCTGAAATGTCTGAGACAGTAATCAAAGCAAACTAAGAACTTAGGAAGATATAAATAACACATAAGTCAGGGGCAGGTATCTGAAAAAAAAGCATTATTCTAAGTGTTTTACAAATTCAAACTCTCCCTCGGTTCATTTTCTTTGCCTTTGGGCATTATTTTCCAACTTGTTTTCTTTAAGTTCAGAGCAGATTATCTTCAACTGATTCTGTCACTGATAAGTAATACAACCAGTATTTACTGCTGAATTAACTCTATATATGTTCTTGTGCTTCCTTTTATACAGAAAAAGAGGAAAGCAAACATGATTTAAAGCATTTAAAAGCACTACATTTTACATGCCATGTGCAAACATCCAGGAAGTTTATCATGAATACCATTTTGTCCATAATTGACCTAGTATTCAAAATCATAATAAGTGAGAAGACTGAGATCAAATCGATCTAGCAAAATCTCACAATTACCTAAGCACCTATTCCTATTAAGGAAGCAAAATTAAAACAAAGAATGTACCACATTGTTTAAAAAACTAATAAAACTACTTTACCAATGATTCAAGTTCTAAATAGATAATAAGATCATCATCCATTATTACTTGTGAATAATAAATTACTTCTATTGAATGTCAAAATTCACCAAAATAGAACATATGTCGTAGTTCAAATTAACAAGACAAAAGTGTGCTTTGAAATCATATGACAAAAAATAATCGAGGACTCCCTCCCGCTAATTTCTTTTATATGTCCACAAACATGATTACAAGCATTGGCGTGACTACATATATATATGTTATAACAAAAGATTTATTCACAAAAGGATGATATATCACTGATAAATCCAATATAGCAATAAACAAAGAAATAAATCTGATAGTGGGCAAACTGTAGCCCATCCCTATTATCAAACACAAACACTATGGAACCTCCTTCCAAGCCCAATTAATATCTCCCGCACCTGTACAAATAAATTGCAAGTTTGAACATTTTATTTCTTATCCAAGCTCACAAGTATGACAAATACCTGTATGCTGAAAGTGAAAGGTATCCACACTAAATCTCCAAAGACCAACATGAAGCCCAATCTCTCTGCAATTATGTCCCAGCTGCAAAAGACACAACAAACATAGGGTTAGAAAGGGGAATGAGATCATATGTGAATGATCAAGTTGATATCCTGATCATAGTTTGATGAGAATTAAGGAGGAATGATGTTTAGTTAAATCTTTGTAGATATTTAGATGAAAATTTATGTATACATTGTGCTTAGATTTCAGAAATTGTTGTATCCCCATATCCAGTCTTTTCGAGTAAACTTTTCTATAAACACTTAAAAAAAAAACAAGAAAAAAAAGAATCGATGAACTTCTTCATAATTTACTTATGCATAAGTTAATTTATGGAAGTTATCTCATATTAGCTTTTCTACAAGATGATTTTCAACTTATGCACAAGTTAATTTTAGTGTATAAAAAAGTTTTCTTTATTTTTTTTTTGTTTTCATTTTTCCTTCTAATTATGTTCTTCTAAAAGTGCTTTCGAAGAAGCTAACCCAAATAGGTCCATTGTATTGTAGCCACTGATACTTGTACTTCCACAACCTGGCTTTTACTATCTAATCTTTTGAAGGGAATTTTAAAATCATAGGTTTTTCACCCCAAACTGGACCTTATCTTATATCCAATATGAGCTGCAGATGAAACATATATCTACAAATCCACCTAACACAGCTACGACATATAAATTCAATTATGTCATACATTGTGTAGTAATTCATATATATCTACAATGGGTAGTACTGCTAGTAATTCATATTTCTTCCCCTGATGCAGAAAGATAAAGTGATTCATACATTGTGCCTGCAAACTTGTTCATAGAAAATAAGTACTGAGGCATTTTACAGTAATAAATTAGCATCAGTGTCACAAACACCTCACCCCCCTTCCCTCTCTAAAATTATCGCAAATGTATTTAGGACTTAGAGGTGTGACGATGATGATTTGACTTCGACCCTCCCCTAGGCCATGCATCCAGGTGCTAGCACTTCCAATGTCAACCCCACCCCCCCCCGCCCCCCCCACACCACCTTACCCCACCCCAAAAAAATCCAAAAATGAAAAGAGCATGAAAACAAACTACTTTCAATCCTGGTTTTGATGGTCAAATTGTTGATTTTTTGTTCATTTGAAAAGCATATTATAAGTTAATTTTAACACATTTAAATTGCATACAAAACAATTTCAAACTAATGTGAAATTTTATAAGCAAAATATGGATGATATAAACCTCTAATTCAAAGGTAGATTTTATTATTAACTCATCCTATGAAAGCTTCTCATTGTTGTAAAAATTTTAATTTACAACGATGTAAATGTGTGTCATCATCTTAAAACTTAACATCACAAGTAACCTATGATGGAGTTTATAGAAAACCCAAGTCTTCTAGTGGAACAAATGTAACTCACGTAGATGTCATGTATTCTTCATGTACGAAATAGTCCAGGATGTATAGCTGGAACAAAAATGTAGAAATTCACATGTCAAGCACACAAAATAATACATTATCAATTTACAACAAACACGCAAGTTTTCGAGATTACTGCACAGAATAGCTGGTAGAGAATCATAGACTGGCTCAAAGCACCATCTTGAATGCTCTTCATAAGAATAGATAAATTGATAAGCAGCCATCCCATCATACCAGCTCTAACAAAGAAAAATCTGCAATTTGATTCCATTAAATCTATAGCAACATACCAGATTGATTTCAGTCTTCAATCACACCTCACTAAATATGCTGATGTAATCTTATTAGCAAAAATCAGTTGACATGCATGTGAACTATATGTACAAATGATGTGGGTGCAGGAGGGCGCAAATAACTTCAAGAATTGTTATTCATGTGTTAAGATTTATTTGAATACTGTTTCCCGTTCTAATTATGGTTACATAGATATCTCATATTTTTAAGGTTAAAAGTACAACACAGTAAAAACATTTCTCACCCATGCTTGCTCTATAATATGATTAACAGTATCCTGTACAATAATGCCAATTTGATTCTTTCAAACACATATATATATGCTTTGTACTTATTTTGAAGACCCAGTCTGCATGGCTGCGGTGTTACACAAATAGGACGCGAAAACATGAGACATGCAGGTTGTCAACAAACCTTGCAGGGCAAACTGAGTCAAGTTTTACAAGAAAAAAAAGAGAAAAATCTACAGATCATATAACAACCACAGTTTGGTATTCAGAATAATCAATCATGAAGGTATTCCAGATGAGATACAACTTTCATTGGCAGGTTGGGGGAAGATGTATCATTCATAGTATGTTTATAAATCACAATTAAACACAGTCAATTTAAATATGAAAAAGTAAATCCATCTTTTAGTGGCAGAGATGGGGAAAGAAAACATGCTTACAATTAATAAACAGTCATGTCGAATAAGAACAAGCAAGAAATTGTGGGAAAGTCACATACTTGAGGTCAATACCCATGAAGTGAGGATTTAGCTGTATTCCAAGCCACCTATTTAAATAAGAAGAAAACAAATATCAACAAGATTAATCATAGAAAACAATTCCTTCTGGGGACTAAAGTTAACACCGTGTTACTAATGCCAGTAATTACCATACACATAAAGATAGAACATGGAAAATGCAAACAGACAGCATTTTGCCACTAAATGATAACACAGTTATTTACGTGTTAACTATGCATTAATCTAACACTTAATATAATCTCTAGAAGACAATAAAATTTTGTACTGGTGCTGAGGGCCAGAGAAATACAATTGAAGAGAATGTAGGTCATAGAATAATAACCCACTGCAGATGCAAGTTGTTTCTTCCATCTCCCTGTTGGTTAAAGAGTTGACGAGTAATATATGATACTTCCAACATCCAAATTATGGCCCCACTTTTTGATTAAAATAGCCATCAGTTAAAGTAATATAAATTTAGAACATACCAATCATGTAACAGGTTGCCACTGATATGAGGTTTTAGTGATGAACCTTTACTTTGTGACTTGCAACCAGAAAAATATAGTACCAGGGTCACCTGCCATTTGTATGCAAAAGATCAACAAAACTGACAACCAAAAGAGAAGAAAATTGCCATCGCATGCAAATTAGTGAGGGTAACACAAATGTAATTCAAATAAACCTTCTTATGTCAAAGTTATAAGAGAATAACAAATCTGTAGGTAGAAGAGATTGAAGAAACACTAACTGCAGGAAGAAGGTATTGATGCTGAATATTAGTCATATAATTTCTTTTCAACAATTAAGTTTGAAAGTTGATCAAATGGAATAGTTCAATTAAACGGGTCAGGAATGTCAAAGAAAATTATAGATAAACCATTTAAAAAGGCCATAGTCTAACCCATTTTACTTAAAAATTGGTATCATCGAGCCTGATGGAGAATTGGTCCCATTAGCCAACTCTCCACCCAATAGGATAGACTACATTGTTGTTGATTGATTTTAAAAACGGGGTATATGTTCATATTTTCATTTCTAGTATATCTGTACAACAAAATCAGCGCGTGTAACCTATTGAAGAAAAGTAGAAAACCTTAAATACTAAAAACAAACAAATTAATATTCAATAGTTTTGAAACTAAAAACGTAACATTCAAAATCAACAGTGAGTTGTGTAGAAAATGCTATTCTGGGAAAGAGGCATTAATCCAAAGAATACATGTCACTTAAAGTATTTAAAAGGACAAACATGACCACTAAAAAATTAGACAAAACTACAGAGCAATTAAACAGGTGCTTTTGAGTGTTATCTAATAAAAATTAAAGTTTCAACTCGATAATACACCTAATAAAAGTTTCCATTGAAGGTTAGCATTATTTACTGATGTGAAATTTCAATTCTGATTTGATAAAAGCACTTATGGAATTGCATGTAAATTTAGTCCAATAAATTATCAGATGCCGAACTCTGACACTCCAAATATCAACTCTAAGCTTACATACAAGAAAACTGAAGACAAAAGTTGTGGACAGCAGCTCAAGTCCTCTGTCTGATATGGCCTGAAAGAATTGCCACGAAAACACATTAAACATGTTAACCTCAATCTTCATGAAAGAAAAGCTGAACAAAATAGTCCAGCTTACATTTCATGTGTTCACACAAATGTATCTGATAAAACGATACGGAAACATCTAGAGACAAATTCAGCAAACACATACAGTGGGAGACACAAAACCCATATTGGCACCGATCCCAAGAAGCCCAACCAACAGAAGAAGCGAGAGCAGACCTGAGAAAATTTAAACATAGTTAAACCCCCAATACATTTTTTTTCTTATTTATATGTATAAAAAACAATCACACTGTCGTTGAGGGCATATGTTTTAACTGACCATTGCAGCGATAGTGAAGACGAGTAGCATCGGCCAGAGCAACCCCAGGAACAAGTTTTCCAGGGAGAATGGATCCAGCAATGGCCAAGTAAGTGAAGAACCCCGCCAGCAAAGCAACCTGACCCCGTTTATAAAAGTGGGAAAACATTGTAAATTGATCATTATTTTCGTATAATTGGTGAATTCACAGACAATGGGGTTCGGAATTGAGGACTAACGGAGTTCCAAGATGGCATGAGAGCGTGTCGAAGAAAACCCAGATCCACCTGTGACTCCATCACTTCCAAGTGAGTTCAAAATTGAGACTTTACAATAAAAGTTGAGGTTTTCGTATAATACAATGTGTCTACTTTAAACACACTCAGCCCCCGGATTAAAAGTGACAGAATATTGCGATCTACTAACGAAGTCCTGAGTCGAAACATTTTCTGGTATCAAAATATTCATTTCCTTTTAAATTGATACTTTTCAATAAAAGTTTGAGGTTTCGTATTATATTGATACTATGTGTCTACTTTAAACACACTCAGCTCGCACATGAAATGTCACCGAACATTGCCATCTACATTCGAAGTCCTAGTCCAAACATTTTCTGTTCTTAAAAAAAAAAAAAAAAAATCTTTTCCTTCTCTTCTTTTTAATCAACTGCACTTTTTTTATATTTTTTGTAACCACACTTCTTCATGTGGATTTTTCAAGCAGATTTTATATTGTTGTACTGCCCTAAAGTTGTATTACAGGTGCATCAAATGGAATATTCTAGGCAACTGGATCCTTGTTGAATTTTTCTCATGATTATAGGATATAGTAAAAATGTTATGTTTATCCTTATTTTTCGTAAAAACTATATATGGGGTAAATATATATAATTACCTTTTTTTCACATTTTTATTTTATCCTACTTAAACTATTAAAGATAAATTATTTATTAAAAATATTATATTAAGAAAATAGCGATTCGATAAAGAGTACATTTTTTAAGTTAATTATCCAGTAATTTAATATATATATATATATATATATATATATATATATATATATATACTTTTTAATTTCTTTGTTGTTTATTTTATCCTACTTTAACTATCAAATATAAATTATTTGTTAGTTATTGTGTGTAAATATATAAACCAGTTATTCATGAGTTTTTTATATCAAATTTTAAAGTCTGAATTTAACTCATTATTAATCATATTTGGTCTCAATCTTAAATATATTTATTTAACTAAAAACGAGCTAAAACAAATAATTAATAAGTAAAGTCTTATTAACTCATGAAAGTTCAACTAATTTACATCTTTACTTCTTAGCAATTGAAAAATATTTTTCTTTTTCACTTTTATGTCGATAATGATTATTTGATTGTCATCGTATTTGAGTTTTTTTATTTTATTTTATTTGAACATTAGTTAAGTTTCATAATTTTCACGTATGTAAAACTAATATAATAAGTTTCACATGTTGAATTAGTATAAAAAAACTTCAAAAATAGTGTTCCAAAACCAGAAATCATTACTCTTTTGGAATGATAACATGGATTTTAATTTGACAATAAGATGAATATTTTTTAGTATTAAACACATGCAATTTTTTTTAAATAAGTAATAGACTAAATCCCATTATAATTTATAATGCACAACACTTTGAGATCTAAATACCGCAAATATATAATAATATAACAAAGAAGGAGGATCCAAAATATTTTTTATAATATTAAATTTTAAAAATAAAAAATAAACTTTTGTCAAATATAAAAGATTAAAAATATATTTAAACATTTAATTTTTAAATACTATTTATAATACTTTTCAGAAGGTAAATAATTTTTTATGCTATTTTATTTTTTGAGTGTCATGTATTATTTTCTAAATAAAATATTAAACATGATAAAATATATTTTTTCTAATAAAATAATAAACAGATGATTACAAATTGTACCAAAATATTATTAGATTAATAAATTTAAATTCTAATTTTAAAAAACAAGCAGGTTTGCCCGAGTGGTTAAGGGGGAAGACTTAAGATCTTCTGCACATAAGTGCGCGTGGGTTCGAACCCCACAGCCTGCATACATTTTTTGTTTAGAGAGGTATACAGTTGAGAGCTATAACAAAGTCTACTAATTGTACTTATCACTTTTTCAGTGTCTTATACATCTTTTTGTTTAGAGATGGAAACTATAATTAAAGAGTGTAATGATAAGAACCAAGCACCATATGGACTTAATCCCAAGTACTACCTTTCCTTATAAACCTTCATATAAGAGCAATCCTCAAGAAACCAAAGAAATTCAAGCTCAGAATTGAAGTATTCGTGGAAAAGGTTGGATTAGGGAGAGCATAATCCCTTGTGCCATGCTTGTTATTCTTGTACCTAAGAAAGATGAAACATGGATGATGAGTATTGATTGAAGACAGTGGCGGATCTTGACCATTGATCTTGAGGGGCAAAATTATATATTATTAATAAATAATAAATAAATATAAAAGGAAGAAAGAATATGAAAGAGTGAAATGATAAAATTGTAGATATATACTTAAATATATTAAATGATCATTAAGTTTGAGGGGACAAAATCATAAATTATATGAGAGTTACAAACTGAGGAGAAGCTGAAAAGATAAAATTGTAAATATACAAGTAAATATATTAAATGTTCATTAAGTTTGGGGGAACCAAAATCATAAATTACATGGGAGTTACAAAACTTTAGGGGGTCACGACCCCTCAGCTCCTAAGAAGATCCGCCACTAATTAAAGACCAATAAATAATATTATTATTAAATAGATATTTAATACCTATATTAGTTGATATGATAGATGAGCTACATGGATCTCAAGGGTTCTCCAAATTTGACTTGAAAAATAGATATAACCAAATTAGGATTAGAGAAGGTAATGAATGGAAAGTTGCTTTTAAAACTCAACATGATTTGTATGAGTAGTTAGTTTAGTTATGCCTTTTGGACTTACATTTGTGCCTAACACTTTTATGAGATTAATTAAATCATTTGTTTAAACCTTTCATAGGTAGATTTGTTGTGGTGTATTTTGTTGACATTCTCATTTTAGTTTATCTTTGATTGATCATGTTGAGCATCTTAAGCCAGTCCTATAAACACTTATGCAAAATTATGCAAATAAAGACAAATGCACATCATGCATGGAAAGCATAATATTTATCAGATATATTGTTAGTTCTCAAGGAGTGAAGTTGATGCTGAAAAGGTGAAGGTTAAACAAGAGTAGCTTACTCCCACTAACATTTATACAATATGAAGCTTCCATGAAATAACTGGTCTTTTGTATTTAATTTTAGTATTATTGCATCTCCTTTGAATGAATTTGTTAAGAATAAGGGATTTAAGTGTTGAGGGAGCAAGGGCATGTATTTGAAACTTTGATAATCTTTTATCTAATGCTCCCATGCTCACACTTCTTGATTTTTTTTAAATCTTTTAGATTAAATATGATGCATCCAAGTTGAGGTTATGCTTTCACAAGAGAATCACCCTATTGCTAATTTTAGTGAGAAATTAAAGGGAAGTCACATAAATTAGTCTCTAACTGAAAAACATATAATTCATTCTATAATTTTATTCATATTATTTTTGTACACAAATACTATGATCTTATAGTATTTTACTCCAACAAATTAGGACTAAATAAAGGAAGTTCTGATTATACAATATTTTGTACCGCTATACAAACCTATAATTTAGCTAATCAAATATCTTTATACCAACAATTCCCCTCAAGTTGGTAAATAGATGTCATACATTGCCAACTTGTCCAATAATCTCCTAAAAAACTGACTTGTTACAACTTTGGTAAGAATGTTTGCCAGCTGATCTTCAGATCGAATATTTGGCAATTCCAGAATATTTTTATCAAGCTTTTCCTTGATGAAAAATCTATCAACCTCCACATGCTTCATTCGATCATGTTGGATAGGGTTGTGAGCAATGTCGCACACAACTTTATTATCACAATACAACTGAATGAGACGTGTATGTGCATACCCTAAATCTTGGAGAAGTAGTCTGAGCCACAAACCTTCACAAATTCCAAGAACCATTCCTCTAAGTTCAGCTTCTGCACTGAATCTAGCTACAACTTTTTGCTTCTTGCTTTTCCATGTGACAAGATTACCTCCTACAAATGTAAAGTATTCAGAGTGTTAGAAAAGAAGGCTGAGATCAAGAGGGGGGGTGAATTGATCTTTGAAAGATTTTCGCAATTAACAGATTATCTATTTGTAAAAATAAGATTTCAGATCTGTTCTTGAATCACAAAGCAATCAATCAACAATAAACGCAGTAACAGAATTAAAAGAGGAGAAAGGTTTAGAAAGATATCACCGGTGTTTATACTGGTTCAACCAATATCAGGGCTACGTCCAGTCTCCAGCCAAATTCCAGCTGGGTTCCACTAGATCAAATGTTTTACAGATTACAATCTTACACTTAATCTACCACAAGAACCACAATTCCAGTTCCTGCACCTAACCTTTCACCAAGAACCAAATTCCAGCTGTAGAGAAACCAGTGCCCACAATTCCAGGCACCAAACAATACAAAAAGAATGTAAAGAATTGAAAAGAAGAAACTAGAATGCTCAAACCAGTTTTATGCAATTCTGCAGTAAGTGTTTCTTCTCCAAAAGAAAGCAATTTGCCTCAAGAAAGAATTTCAAAGAACTTCACAAAAACTAGCGCGAATCTTTCTTGAAAGAGTATTAAAGTTTGCTTGCTTGATTGCTAAAGGATGTGTAAAAGATTGATATTCGATGATGTATAAAAAATTCAAGCCAATATGTTTTTATAGAAGATTTTCAAAACTGCTGGTTTAATCAATCTATTAAAATAATCTTTTAATCCATTAAAACGTTCTTGATTCTTTAACAGATTTGTTTTAACTGATACGACAACGGTTATATCAATTAAAACTCTTTACAAAAAATCTTCTAATTTGTTTTAATCGATTGTTTCGTGATTCAATCGATTAAAATACTGCAAAACTTTCTTGTAAAATTTTCCAAGTGATTTTAACTGATAAAAATAAGTTTTAATCGATTAAAACGCTGTGTAGAAATTTTCTAAGTTGTTTTAATCGATTGAAACGTGTTTTAATCGATTGAAAAAGCTCTGATCGGTCATAACTCAATTCTGATCGATCATATCTGATTCTGATCGGTCATAATTGCATTCTGATCGATCATCCTGAACACTAAGTGGATTTAATCGATTAAAACCAAGTTGTATCGATTAAAATACTGC